CTCCTTGTGACACATGTCCTCTAAGAATATACAGAAACTTACCTTAATTAAGAGCAGTTTTTAACAATAATAACCATTTATCAATTAAATTAAATCAGATAAATGTAAAGAACATACCTTAAGAACTTGCATTGTACATGCTCTAACTGGAGTGTTTGGTCTTACGAAATGTTCTCCTTGTAGACGGTATAAATAAACATTGGAATAGTTAACTTTAGAGGCACTTTCTCATAGAGTATTTATCATAATAGACACTTTCTGATATTTGCACAAAGACATTTTTTTTCGATTTTGCCCCTAAAGTGTCTATTATGTCTTTGTGCACAACATTCTCAACTCTCTCATTAAACTCATTACAAAACACAAACACACAATCTCTTCTTCATTGACACAACATTCTCAACTCTAAATACAAAAATAAAAAACAGAGACAGAACATTCTTAAAAGTTATGGGTAAAGATAACAGAGCCAACTCGAAGACCTCCTCCATGACCACGGTTATCTTGAACATTGATCACATCCTCCTGTTCCTGATCATTTGGTGCATAACTGAATTTAGTCTCATCCACTTATTCATGTCCATTTGGTCATGGCTGCAAATTAGTCTCCTCGTCATGGTCATGTCTATTTGCGGCAAAATGGAAATTTGTCTCATCCACGTGTTCGTGTAAATTTGATTATGGCTGCAAATTAGTCTCATCCACCTGTTCTTGACCATATGGCGCATACTATACATATCAAAACATTAAAGCATATTAGCAACAAAATGTATTTAAGTGATCTTCGTTCGATCTACCGGTGTGGAATCCATGTTTGATGTAAACTATTATTTGTACTCATTTTGATAATTTCAAATTTGATTTAATTAAAAACACTTAGAACAAGGTTTCCACACGACAATGAAGAAATTATTTGTCTTACCATGCAAAGAACTATTCCAATATGCATATCCACACGATAGACTCCGGGACATGGACACGTTCTTGTGGACATCTTTTCGCTCACTATATTTTCCATGGAATTCCTACTGAAACCACATCAAACAAACAAATTCATAAAAATACTTTCTTCGGTAATATCCTCAATAACCACAAATCCATAAAAATCCATAGAACTCCTTCGTTTGGTCAAACCCAAGTTCTTTCAAGTCATAATTGGAAGCCGAAAAACCATCAGTCGAGGTAATTATCGTGAATGTATGGCACTGGTGAGAAACTAGTGATCAATCTCCTAGCCAAGGCAAAATCGGATTCAAACCCGAGACGCTGCAACCGCCAATAGAGTAACCTCTAAAAGCATACCATCAAGCCACGAGAGTATCTCTGTTAGTGAACAGTTTCCGTCACGAGATGAGAATATGAAGAATGAAAGTGTTTCATTATTAAGCACTTTTGTTAAGTATGTCGTTTTGGTTTGTTGATCCAGTCAAATTTGAATAAGTCTTGTTGTCCTGGTTTGTAGGAGGCAAGTACAAGTTGTTGCAGGTTGTTTCGGTTAGTCAGTTGTAAGAGTTGCATGCCTTTATAAGTGACCTGTTTTGTTCTGGTTTTATATAAGCAATAAGAGAATGTAAATCTTCTGTCGTAACTTGTCTCTTCCTCTGCAATGTTCTGTTCCAACAAGTAGTACTCTGTTCCAGAT